AAACCATGAAACAGGTTTTTCCTACTAGAAGAAACTCTAACTTTCAGCTTTAAAAAATACAAACTGTTAAGTTCAATCAAGAGAAACTATATAACACAAGTTAAATTTCAGCCTTATCCTGCAATGTTTGTAACATATCAATAGCAAACCACAGCAAAGTTATAAAAGTTTGGTAACACTCAGGAAAACTAAATGCCAATATCAAACAAATGCACAAGTAGCAACATAGTTACAGGTGATCAAAAGATGACAGAGAAATGCAATGAGACTCAAATTAAAACAATAAAAGCATGGTAGTATGGAATAGTTACGAAAAAACAATACATTTATACCCAATTGAATGGTAAGACATTTCATATATCGATAATTGAAAGATGATCAACTTACATATAGCTCTCTTGCTTGTTCATTAATCCACCCTTTCTCCGCGCTCCAACGAGTGTCATGAAATAATTGTATAGGACCGACAGATTCCCCAAGTTGGTGCACCTTAACAGTTCATATCGTCATTGATCATAAATTGAAATAAATTTAGTAAACAGAACAACAAAGTTGTATATTTGTATAGGTGAATCATTTTAAATACCTTTTCCTTTTTGTGCTGGATAAAGTTCTTGGAACCACCGCGGTGGTTACACCTCATCTTCGACCGGTTCTCAGAATAAGTTTTTGACCGTGCCTAACACCACAAAATCAGGAAATTAAAATACAATACATATATAATAACATTAAAAGCCATGCTGACCTTACCTGAAACTTTTCACTAGAAAAAAAGTCACAAAGATATATCCAATCATCGGGATCTTTAATTTCTTCTAATCTATTCTGTAATGCTTCCTCCTTAGTAGCATATGCTTTGAATTTCTTGTGTAGGGCACTCCGGAAGCTGTTGAATCTCTTACACAATTTGTGCTTTAGCCATTTCAGTATATGGGGCTCCGTGATATCAATGTCAAACTTGGTCTAAATTCATCAATAATGTACATGCATTAAACTTATATGGGTATTATATATTATTTTCATAAGGAAGTATGACAATATGGATAATGATATTAAACTACATTACCATGATACGAGCAATCATTTGTTTTTCGACATCGTAGGGAACTTTCTTCCAAGTAAGAACTCTTATGAGGGCATAATTCCTCGCAACTATTCCTACCTCAGTACTCAACTTTGATGCATTTACTCCAGTAGGTACTCCATCTTCTTTTTGAAAGTCTACATGCAACTTTGACTACGCTATTTGTAGGAGTCTTTCACATCCAACTTCTCTACTCTTCCCTCTCACGTTCTTTGCCACAATATTCTCTACAAAATCAAAATAATGCATCAACAATAAATACTATGTTATCACAAGGACGGTTTACATGTTGGTAAAGTAAAATGTATTCTTAAATTTTAAACAAACATTGTACTCAATATCTAAAATCCAAGTATATATTTCAGTATGCTTATATGGACCAATATCATAACTTTACTAGTGATTGCAGCAATTTCAGGTGTCGGTACAGGACTATGATTCTGTGGAACAACATTTGCACGTCTAGCTAGGGTCCTTCTTGTACCATGAGCCATCTTCGGAATCTACAAACATCAACATAAGAGAAAACGTACCAGGTAAGATATAAGTCACTTTATACAATTAATCTCACGAAATTAGATCATTAACTATACAAGTGGAAGGGGCCCAACCAATGCTCGGTGTTTATTAGGTATCATTGCTGGAAGTTCGGGAGATCTGCGAAGCTGAAGTGGTCGAGACGCTGCTCGTAATATTTGGTCTTGTACTGGTACTATTGTTGTTGTTGTTGTTGTTGTGGTTGGGGTTGGGGTTGGGGTTTCGTTTGCTTTGAGAATCTTCTAGAGAGCCTTGGGGTCCGCTTGAATTTGAATGGCTGTGATGCAAGTGCAGATGGAAATGAAATGGAGATGATGACGATGATCGAGAGAATTATTCGTAAGGATTTTGCCATTGTTTTGTTTTGAATGTTGAGTTCATTGAGTTGGATAATGTGGACTATGGAGTTATGAAGTAGGCTGGAGTAGAGTAGGCGGTAACCATGGGTGGAATTCAACTGCGATCGGATGTAGATTGCAGTCAGGGCTTTCTAATTGATTTGATGATTGCATGAGTCTAATTGGGAAGGTCTACAAGTTTTGGTATTCGCCGAAGCACTGGATTATAAAGTAGTTGTAAATTGTAATTGTCCTAAGTTTGACGCTTCTGACTCTAACTGGGTGGGCTGGGTAACTTGACGAGCAACTTAAAATATGAGTAATGCTAGACAGCTCCACCTATTTCTTACTGTCCTAGGTTTGACGCTTCTGACTCTAACTGGGTGGGCTGGGTAACTTGACGAGCAACTTAAAATATGAGTAATGCTAGACAGCTCCACCTATTTCCTATTGTCCTAAGTTTGACGCCTCTGACTCTAACTGGGTGGGCTGGGCATACTTGACGAGCAACTTAAAATATGAGTAATGCTAGACAGCCCCACCTATTTCCTAATGAACCGTTATTTTCAATTTTAATCAAGCAAAAATTAAATGAAAAATCTTTTAAACACCAAAATCATTCTTTCAATCATTTTCCCATACATCTTGTGGACAAGGATGAGAGTTTCACAAATCTCAAAGATTCCACTACAGAAAATAAAACCTAGAAAAATCTTCCCAAAATATCGTAAGATTGAGCCATCCCAAAAAAAATGGCAGCTACAAGTCAATGTCAAGGGCTGTAGCGCCAGAACGCTAGCCACCAAAAAGAAAGTGCCAATAACAAAAACAAAAACAATGAAAATGACGATGATCATCTTCCATGGGTAGTTTTGGAAATAATTTAGTGTGAGAATCTTGGTGGTTGTCGCTTGTCGGGGTACCTTTGGCTATTGGTATTTGCTCAAGTTTTTTGTTGTGGTGAAGGAGCAGAAGTCATGGGATGTGCCAATATGGCTTCCGTTGTTGACATCTTTCTTAACTTCAGGAATTTATGCACTTGGGATTTTCTTATCCCAATGCACATTTACTTTCCTCATCTTCATCTCTTTTAACTGAAAATGCAGGCCTTTTAGTAGTTGAGATGGTTGCAGTTTCGCTTTTGAGCATCGTATAAACATACAACATGGTTGGTCTATCTGCAGGATTTTCCTAGACACATAGTAGAGCTACTTGCAAGCATTTTTTCAGTTTCCATGGAGAAGACGAATCGTCTAGTGATAAATCGAAAAACTCCATGACTTCAACTTCTTTCCACAATTCATGCCCCTGAAGTAACTTAAATGTTACCCAACTTTGGCCAAGTTTCTCGCTATAGTAAATCACAATTTAAAAAAAAAAAAAAAAAAAAAATCAGGATGTCTACAGGAAAGAATGACCGGTAACTTACATACTCTAAATAGGTTAAATTTTTGTAAGAGCCACAATAGCATGTTGTCTTCTTGGCACTAATGATTTGCAGAAGCAGAACTCCATAGTTATAAACATCACACTTCATGGAGTATATACATTTTCTTATATACTCAGGGTAATATAGCCACTGCATAGCTATAAACATCATACTCCATAGCTATAAGCATTTTTGTGATCTGACTGCTACATATAACTACCACCACTTATTAAGAGGAGTGAGTAGGAAAAATTGAAATTGTCATACTTGGAAGCATTCTTGGTCAATATATTGTCATACATAGGTGGTGAAATCCGGTTAACCGGAGTGGTTAGGCACTTTCTTGAACTGAACCGGAATCCGGTTTGAATGAAAAACCAAACCAAAACCGAACTGGTTTTCCACTTGAATCTGATGCTAATTCGGTTAACTGGTTAACCTATTTTTCTTTTTGGCTTTTAATCCTATAAATTCCCTTCTTCTCGCTTTTAATTGTATAAATTCCCTTTTTCCATTTCCCTTTCATCTCATTCTTTGTCTCCACAATACTTCTCTATATTTAGATAACAACTGCATTCTTGATGATACTCTTTATCTCTCATTTAATTTCTTTTACTGAAAAACAAAAACCCAAACAAATCTTAAAACTTTCCCAAAATCCCAAAAAAATGTCACGTTAATTTGTTTTTGTTTTTTCCCCCACTTTTGTGGTTGTTGCCCACTTTGGTTTTCGCTTAGCAGCGATCTCCCAAAGGTACTCCAACCGGCCAGCCAAATCCTGCACCACCAAATAATAACAATAATAGCAAGCCCTCACCTCAACAACAGTCGTAACAGAATTCTCTGGCTACCCAACCATAACAAACACCACCAAGGTGAATTGGATGAAACCCTCGAGACAGAAAGTGGCATCGACATTCTTGTTTAATAACCACATCAATCATATATTCCATGAATCAGATATCCATCCAACAATGTTAACAAGTAATTAATATTAGGTAGAGTGATTAATCCTCTTTATAAACATGAAGACCTGGAAGACGATTGTGTGCATAAAACAGATAAACTAAAAGAAAGTATTGAAACTAACTATGAACAGTAGTGTAGAACAAAATTAACTCTACAATATAGAGCTTGGGGGTAAAAGAATTAAACAATGCCCTGTAGTGTTACCAAGGGATGCAAAAAATAAAAAAAAATAAAAACTTGAGTGTTTCAGAGGAACCTTGCGATCTCCCCTACATACCCAAGAGCAATTACAGCAGTGGTTTACATGTTGAGTAGCATAGTTAATAAGGAATCTACAACTACTTCAATATCTTTCAGGATTAGTCATCGACTCATCGCTGTTCCGGTTGAGTAATTGTTGCATCATTGACTGAAAATGTTTTCACCTTGAAGATGCAATTACTATCCTCATCTTCATCTCTTTTGACTGAAAAAGCAAGCTTCTTAGGAGGAGGGATGTCTTCACTCTCACCTTTGAGCATGTTCTAAACCCTGAGCATGGTTGGTCTTTCGGCAAGATTTTCCTGGACACACAATAAAGCTACTTGCATGCATCTCTTTAGTTTCAATGGAGAAGAAGAGTCATCTAGTGATGAATCAAAAAACTCCATGCCTTCACCTTCTCTCCACAACTCATACCCCTAAAGTAATCCAAATGTTACCAAGCTTTGCAGTTTAAAGTTTCAAATGAAAAATTTTGACTAAATTTTTGTTTTTCAATGTTGAATGGCGATTATAAACCATTTATTGGCTCATCTCATGAAGTTTGCATTATAAAAAAACAAAAATGTTCACAGGAAAGACTGCTAATGGATTAAAGTTGAGACTTGAATTATCAAAAAAAAGTGACTTACATATTCCAAAAGGGTTAAATTTTCGTTTGAGCCATAGTAGCATGCGGTCCTCTTGCCACTTATGATTTGTAGAAGCAAAACTCCATAACTATAAACATCATACTTCATAGAGTATATACCTTTTCTTACATATTCAGGAGGAACATAGCCACTGCAAATCAACATAGGCAAGAAAATGCCATTATTCAACAAAGAAAACTTATAGAAATAATGTGTCACATATCAATTTAAGTAAGTTAAGGACTTACTATGTTCCAACTATGCGGCCTGTGTTAGCTTCAAATTCATCTTTCGTAAAAGCTTTAGCCATTCCAAAATTTGATATTTTGGGGTTCATTTCTTTATCCAACAAAATGTTGCCAGCCTTTAAGTCTCTATGAACTATTGTAAAGTTTAGTATTCTTGCAGATATAAAAGCCCTTGAGTAATACCTTCAATGATCTGAACACGCTTTCTCCAATCTAAAAGATACCATCTGTTAGCATCTGTAGAAAACCAAACTTGTAATCAGTTGGTCAATTAAAAACTAGAAGCAAAAACAACAAGACAGTCAAGTTTCCACAAGTCCTAAAATATAACTGTTTTTGCTTATGTTTTGATCTTTCTAGAAAAGAGTAAGATTACATATACAAACTTGTATAGGAGTGACATATCATTCATCCGTTTTAGTATTAGTTTGAAGAGTTTGTAAGCGTAATATTGTTACATGGACAAACTATTTAAACCCAGTTAAAGATATATAGATCATAGTTGGAAGTATAGAGTTTACATATCAAAGATGTAGAAATCCAAGCTTTTGTTTCGGCATGTGTTCATAAATCAGCATCTTTTCTTTCTTTTCAGTGCAAATTCCCAAGACTCGTACAAGATTTACATGATGAAGCCTTGCAGTAAGCTCAACTTCATTCTTGAACTCTTCAAGTCCTTGAGGAGAAGTTTCTGAAAGTCTCTTGACTGCTATTTCTTGTCCCTTAATTAACCTCGCCTGATAGTTGAAACCTAGTACTTTTTCAAACAAACTTTATATACAAACTGATGTGACACAATAGGCTTAATCCAATAATTTAAAAAATATCATGAACACCCTGTATATGGCATCAGCTGAACAACTCCTAAACTAGCACCTTATATGTTACAATCTGTTAGTATTACCTTGTAGACAGGACCGTATCCACCCTCGCCGAGCTTATTATTGCTCGAGAAGCTATTTGTAGCCGCTTTAATTGTTGTAAAACTGAATACTTGCAACTTATTTGCATCATTGTTAAGTTTTTCAGCAGCTGATATTTTGATTTTCAGTTTAGATAGTGAACTCTTCATAGTACTCATAATCCTTGAAACCAAATATAATGCAAAGCACAATTCAGTCATATAAATGGTCAAATTACTCTATTTCAGGGTTGATTATAGCACTCATATTGAACTAGAAGCTTAAGTTACCTGTTGATTTGAGTACTCTTCTTTTCAAGTAGCAAATTATGGCACTAAGAAGCAGCATAAGTATTGCTACTGTAACAAGAATTATTATCAGTAACCGTGGCTTGTTTCGCTGATCTTCAGTACTTTCCTTTTGAACTAAAAATATGTTTCTTATGTTCATTAGATTCACATAGTTGTTAAACTTCTCTAATATTTTAATAATATGATAAATTGGAAACACTTGGGATTGATCTTCCCAGTGAAATTCCCCTGTATTTTCTCTGTTAAGAAAATAATGGAAAAGATAATTGAAGAAGGATCAAATGAATAACAAGTAAATAACAATTCCATACCAGCTGAAGAAAGCTCCCATTTGTCATCATTAGAAAGCTGAAACACATTGTACCCAAGCAGCCCTTTTTCTTTTACATAAGAAACTTTTGCTCTTATAGCCTCAACACCATCAAAATTGATCCAATTTGTTCCAGAAGTGAAGAAATTCACGACATAAGTATGATTATACACTGAAGCAGCTCCATAACCATAATCTCGAACGTACGATTTGATGAACTTGTAGCCTATAGAACCATCTATTGTGATACTGGGACCAGAAGTCCGTGCACCAATAGCATTATCATCTGGACTAACCAATGTCTAGGCGTAGCCATGATAAGGCAAACCCAGAACAAGTTTTTGAGCTTCAACTCCAATTCTTAGCCATTCACTTATACTATAATTGGTATTGAACCAACTTGAAGAACCATATAAAGCAGCATGAGCGCCTATAAATTTATCCCTTGTAGGCACATAATAGTCATATGCTAAAACATGTATCCAATCCAAGTTCTTTTTCAAGGATTCTATTGGGTAAGTGATCGAGTCGAGAAAAGGCAAATGATGGCTGGTCATTACCAGTAAAAGCTATGACTTACCTGAGTTTCTAGCCTCGAAATTTACCTCATCGCGCCATTCGTCGAAAAGGATTCCTAAATTTGTCATGTTGATTCTTCTATTTGGCTTTACACCAGCAAGGTCTAGGCCATGGAAGCCATCTTGATGGAGTTGGGCCTAACTCCACACCCAATGGGCCTAACTCCACACCCAATAGGCCTTATTGAGTGGGAGAATTGTCTACTCTTATAAACCCATTGGCTTGAGTGTGCCTAGTCGATATGGGATCTCCAACACCCCCCCTCACGGTCAAGCCCATATGGTCAATTTGTCTATGAATGGAGGTAGTTTGGCAGCCCACAGCTGGTCAATCACTCAGCTCACATGGGGCTAGCTTTGATACCACTTGATGGAGTTGGGCCTAACTCCTCACCCAATAGGCCTTATTGAGTGGGAGGATTGTCCACTCTTATAAACCCATTGGCTTGAGTGTGCCTAGTCAATATGGGATTTCCAACAAGCCATAGAGCCTGGCTGTTTCTATGGAGGATTTGATAAAAGTCTTTCTGGAAGAGGATTGGTTTATCATTGAACCAAAGGTTGAAGAGTTTTGTCCCGCACCCCAGATTGATAAAAGTGTTACAACTGATGGATTCTTGTGTTTCACAGTGCTGGTGAAGTTAGAGAAGGATTCTTCAGAAGTTGAGTTGATAGAAATGTGGTAGGTAGAGGAGTTTATACGAGCGAAACCGCACATAAGGTGAGTGAAAAGAGTAGACTTTATCTCTGAAATGGGGAGCTCACTCTGAGAATCCCAGTAACCACCTCTAATCCAACTTTGTGACGAGTTTGCATAGTGCAAATGGGGAAGAGAAATGAAGAGGAGGAGGAAGGCGTTGGTTTTGTCAACCATTGAAGGAAGGAAGCTCATGTTTTGCAGGAAATGTGAATGTTCATATAGCAAGTTAGGCTAAAATACAACATATCAATTTTCCTGTATTGACTTTATGGATAGATTTCGTGGGAAAATGATACACTTTCTCCTTTTTTGGACTGTCTAACAATGTTGAATTTAGGAGATTGACTAAGAACCCTCTTGACTTTGCTTATTGTTGTGACACTATAATTAGCTAATGCACGCATACCACATACATATTCAGTTTAACTTGCTGACATGAATACATTGATATGTGATACGACTGTAACCTCTCATGCCTACTTTCTTCGGTGTGGCTTTAAGACTTAACATTTTTCCTAAAGCTGATTCTGGCGAAAATTCTCTCCATCGCTACCATTTGAACCTCTAGTCTCCTTACTACAAAACCTCTGTCATTTCAACATCTGATTTCTCGTTGATTTTCGGCCATTGCAAAGCTAGGATTTCCTGTTCTTAACTAATTTTCGGTGGCAAATATTCAATAAGTTAACACCATTCAATCCACTGGCCTCCGCTCTACGAAACCCCTCTTACCCCGGTCATGGTAATTCGCCGAACACCGACTGAGAAAGTGTAACTCGCCGAACACCGACTGAGAAAGTAATTTCCAGTGGCGAATATTCGATCAGTTAACACCAATCAATCCACCGGCCTCCGCTCTACAAAACCCCTCTTACCCCAGCTCACGGTAACTCGCTGAAAACCGATTGAGAAAGTGAAGTGTATTTTGGGTATTAACGGAATATAAACTTTGGGTGGGAAAGTGGTATTTTGAAAATTTCTAGGTGGAAAATGTCATTAAGGCAAACCTTGGGTGGAAAAAAGTCGTTTACTCTTTTTATATATTGTATAACCCACTTTCTGTGATGAGGTTTGGATATGTTTCTCTTATCCACCAAATAGTGGGGTTTAGACTGCATCTTCTTTGATAGGAACCTTAAACATCATATTTGGAAACTGGGTCCGAATTAAGGGGGATGCACTTGAAACCCTACTATTAGAGGTGGGTTTATAAAAGCCCCACCATCTGAAGTGGGTAGGACAATATGCAAGAATTGTAACTATCAGAACCCTATCGAAAAAAATGGGTAGGAGATATTACAAGTGGCGTGATCCTATATATCAATATATTCCAGATTTTTCATCTTGTATGTAAAGGGCTATCTTTTTCTAATATCTATCCCTCAAGTATACATTCGTCTTGAAAAGGGTTATCTTTCTCTAATATCTCTGTTAATGACTGGAATTAATTTGCTGCAAGGAAAACTTTTCTCCCTATGGTTTTTGTTTTTAATTAAGTTCTTTTAAAAATAATTTATGACCGGAATTGAACTGTGGTGTTGGCTTCTTGTTTTGCCTCTACGTGCTTCCTTTTGGCTATTGTGGAGTTATTAGAGAGAGCGAAAGAGATATATTTAGAAGACCAGATACTAAAGGTGATTGAGAGTGCAGGGCCTCCACAAGTTGATTTCTCTTTGGAAATTAGTGTTACATGCAACTTCCACCATACACAGCAACCCAAGAGGAAGAATGTTTAGGGTAAGTTGACCGTTGATTTAAGGGACACTTTCCTAGCTATTTCCATACTGAAAAGTAATGACAAACTTGTAATATCATTTAAACGTTCTTCACCTTAAACACATTTATTTAATTATGAGGATTCAAATCTTATAAACTTAATCTCAAAGTCATTTGTCTGCAGTGTGGAATGTAACAAAAAATTTTGCACATTTTACATGGTATATTTGTTAAAACTACGACCAAAATACACACAATAATAAAAGCAGAAGACTAAAGAAGATACACGATTAATTAAACAAGTACACCTACCATTCAAATAGAGAATTTTTATTGAGTATTAGAAATTTGCAATAAATACAAAATAGATGACAACAGTTCACTATTGCGTAGTTTTTCACTATTACAAAATACATATAACCGCAGAAGTCGGCAGAAGCCGATAATCCGTCAAGGCTAAGAGAAGTATAAACCATATCAACAATATTGCTGCTTATAGACAGACATTACTAGAGTAATAACCGTAAATGATGGGCAAGATGACAATAACCATTGAATTAATATTGCTTACTTGCTGCTTCAGAAAGCACCCAGTCATCATCATAAGGGACTTCCCACACATAGTAACAGCGCAGCCCCTTCTCTTTGGCATAAGAAACTTTAGTTTTCACCACCTTTACATCATCAAAACCAATCCAAATGTTCCCAATTGTGCAGTAATTAACCACATAATCTGCATAGTACTTAACTTGAATGACTTTATTCCCCTTTATGCTATTCTTGATGTGATAATACCGCAAAAACCCATCTGCTGTAATGGCTGGTCCGATAGCTACTACGCCAATACAGTTACTCTTTGGATTTAACAGCGTCCAGGCGTATCCGTAGTAAGGCAAACACAAAACCAACTTATTTGCGGACACTCCTCCTTCAATCCAGGTTCTTATACCATAATCGCCACTAAGAATACTGGTTGGGTTGTACAGAGCTGCATGAGCCCCTGTAAAATTCGACCACTCTGGCCTGTTGTAATCACTAGCTTGAACATGAATCCAATCCAAGTAATTCTGTATCGACTGTGTCGGGTAACTTCCTGGACGTATACCATTTGATGTATAATCGACCCTCGCGGTCAAAATCAGTGGTGACTGGCTAGACTTTTTTGCCTCTAATTCTATTGCGGCTCGCCAATCTTGAAAGAGAGTGCCCATGTTAGTCATGTTAGAGCTTAATAATCCGGGAATCCAAGCAAGGTCTAGGCCTCCAAAGCCGTAAAGCCTGGATATTTTCATCGTGGAGGCAATGAAAGATTTTCTGTAAGAAGGATTGCTCGCCATTAGAGGATAGCTGGTTGAAAGGGTTGAAGTTTCCCCCCCAATGGATAGAACCCCCCCAATGGATAGAAGTGTAGCGACTGATGGGTTTTTTCGTTTCACAGTTTCTGTGAAGGTGGAGAATTTATTTTCATCGGAACGTGGAATAGAGAGCTCGTAGGAGGTGGAGTTTAGATAGCTGAAAGCGCAAAGAAGGTGAGTAAAGAGAGCAGAATTATTCTCCGAAACGGCAAAACCGGTACCTTTATACCGGTAACCGGCTTTTACCCAAACTAGTGATTTTGCTGGTTGATTTATTTCTAAAGAGAGGAAAATACGAAAGGTATTAATAATTTTGCTCGCCATCGAAGAAAGCTCATGGCAATTAAGTATGGCTATGGTAAATTTATAGAGAAGATAGCTCACTGTTAATGCTCTTGGTCAATTTTCACGGCTAGAAAAATTTATATTGGGGTCTGATTGGTGGGGAACCCTTGGCCTTAAATACCACTAAATTTATAGAGAAGATAGCTCACTGTTAATGCTCTTGGTCAATTTTCATGGCTAGAAAAATTTATAGTGGGGTCTATAGGTGGGAGAAACCCTTGCCTTAAAGGAACACATTTGGTGGATGTGAGATTCAAATACGAGATTCTAATATTTTCATATACAAATTAATTTTTAGGACAAAGAAAAGATAATTCTAGCACTTCGAAGAGCTAGGAACCTCCCAATACAACTTTGTGAAAAATCCCATGCCCTAACCTTCTTATACCCAATTATCTTAACAAACTTGATGCCCTCCTCTGAACCTCTTGGAATGTTTAGTTTCCTATCAAAGACAAAAAATAAGCTTAAAGTAAACCAATAAAATGAAAGCATCAAGTCAAAGTCATCGTATTGGCCTTTTCTTTGAATTATCCATATAATACAAGAAGAAACCACAACCAATTAATCGCTTCCATAGTTGGCATCCTAGTTTAATGGCAATAGGTTCAAATATTGCAGAAAATTATAATGGTCAAATTAAGCAGCTTCCTTAAAGTAACACATTTGGTGGATGTGAGATTCAAATATGAGATTCTAATATTTTCATATACAAATTTATTTTTAGGACAAAGAAAAGATAATTCTAGCACTTCGAAGAGCTAGGAACCTCCCAATACAACTTTGGAATAATCCCATGCCCTAACCTTCTATACCCAATTATCTTAACAAACTTGATGCCCTCCTCTGAACCTCTTGGAATGTTAGTTTCCTATCAAAGACAAAAAATAAGCTTAAAGTAAACCAATAAAATGAAAGCTCAAGTCAAAGTCATCGTATTGGCCTTTTCTTTGAATTATCCATATAATACAAGAAGAAACCACAACCAATTAATCGCTTTCATAGTTGGCATCCATGTTAATGGCAATAGGTTCAATATATTGCGAAAAATTTAATGGTTAAATTAGCAGCTTCCTACCCTATCTCCAAGGACCGCCAAATATTGGTCTTGAAAAGCCTAGAGTCATCTTGCAACCACTTCAGAATTGTTGCGTCACAACCAAAATTAATCCTGAACTTTTGTCATTTTCTTTTCATCACTTTGTTCTGGAAAGCAGACTTCTTGGGGCTGATTACTGTATTTGTGGATCCAGTTTGAGCATTGAGGAAATTCTAACATGGACGGTCTATCATTTTGGTTTTCTTGGACACATAGTAGAGCTATTTGCAAGCATCTCATTAATTTACAGGAGGATTGTGTATCATCTAATGATGGATCCACAAACTCCATGCCTTTGTCATCTTTCCACGACTCATATGTCTGAAATTTTATATGAAAATATATATATCGAATTAATATTTCCAATGCTAATTAGTAATATTAATGGCCTGTTCTTGGGGGAACTTACATGCTTTAGAATGCTCAAGTCTTCATGGGGCATATAAAGATGAAACCTCTTTTCCACTTATGATTTGTAGAAGTAGAACCCCAAAACTATAGACATCAAGGTTAGTTGAATATATGCCGCTTTGACATATTCAGGAGGGATATAACCACTGCATTGAATTATTAGAGATAGTGTGCTAAGCATGTGTCTTAACAAGTGCAAGCTACAAAGAATATAGAAGAAAAGAAGGTTGATGTTTACTACTATGTTCCAATGATTCGCTTTGTTGATGATCATTTTCCTCAAAAATTTTGGCTATACCAAAATCTGATATTTTAGGCTTCATATCTTCATCAATAATATTTACTAAGTTTCAGGTCTCGATGAATAATAGTCAATCTTGATATTCTTGGAGATACATAGCCCTTGGATAATCCCCTAGATTTGAACACGTTTTGTCCAATCCAAAGAATTCGTCTACAAGGGTTGCATTTATTATAAAACCAAATTAGTAATACTCTAATCAATGTTTTCAAAGCTGCAAAATTGCAAAAATAAGTTAGTTGGAGAGAAATTATTGTACCAAAAAGGTGGTAGTCCAAGCTTTTGTTCGGCATGTACTCATAGATCAATATGTGTTCTTCTTTATCAATGCAAAAACGTATAACTTTGACAAGATTTACATGTTGGAGCTTTGCAGTAAGCATAACCTCATTCTTGGATTCCTCAAACCCTTGCTTTGAAGTTTTGGAAAGTTTCTTCACTGCTATTTCCTGACCATCTTCGAGGATACCCTAGTAAAATACATTCATTGTTTTATTTAGCTAAATAAACTAATTTTCTTGTAACTCTTGAAAATATGTTGATGATCAAGTGAAGAATAAAATGTTTAGGTAGTGCAGAAACATTGTGTTTTAAAAAAGGATAAATTGCCCTGTAATGTTGTACCTTGTAAACAGGACCATATCCACCTTGGCCAAGCTTATTTTCGATTGAAAAACTATTGGTAGCTGCCTCAATTTCAGGTAAAGGATATTGCTTAACAGTGGGAACATCGCTATTAAACTCTCCATCAGCTCTTAATTTATCTTCTTTAGCAGCAATATTACTCACTATCCCTAACATTAAAAAAATAGAGAAATAATTAAAACTTTGAGAAAACATTAAACAATTATCAAGTGTGTTATAAATGAAAAATACTTGAAGCTGAAAATGTTACCTTCAAATTTGTGCTTTCTCCCCCAGCAATAATATATAACAACTGCTAGTAAGAGAACAGTTGCTATTGTAACAATCAGGACGATTACTAGCAAATTTGTCTTATTTCTTCCTCTTTTATTATCCTCTGTAGCTGAGATTTTTTTTTCTTCCCAAAATGAAAAATGATCACTATATTATAAAACGATCTACAAAGATACTTTACAATAAATTTGTGTTTAGCAAGGATAACTAAATGCTAGTGGTATAGAGGTAAAGTATGCAATACGCTAATAATTAATTAATAGAGCATGTCAAATCCAAGTATAGACATTGATAAAGAGATTGAAATAGTTTAACAAAAACTAGTACATATATCTATGTAATGTTGAGAATATGCAAAGTCATCTTAAAAGTATAAAATTTTGCATTCTCTTTAATGTGTTTCTCTCAATGTAAATTTTATAAATACATTGTACTATAATACAATCCATGCAATCTTCAACCAATTCAAGTGATATCGGTATCTTTCCTTCTTCTTTTAGCAAATCAACCATGCCACCCAAAGTTAATATTTTATCAAATTTTAAATTTTTATTATAGTTAAGGTATTTTAGCTAAATTCTTAAATATATGGAGTTAAAAGTAATAATATAAATAATAAAATAATAATAATAATATTATTATTATTATAATATTTAAAAAGAATGACAATTCAATAAAAGGTTCTTCTATAATTCTTTTATTCTATCAACCAAACATATTAATTATTTATATCCATTATATGTATAATATAATATTCCCTTTAATCTTCAAAGTATAATTTATCTTATTGATAATCTTATTTTTTTAGTAATAAAATATTCCTGAAAACAAACGCACCCTATATGTAAAGATTTTCTAATGTATATAAATGCACACTTCCAAGTAGATATATATGAATAAAGGGGCCGGTAGTGATTTATAATGTTGCTGATGCATATAATTCACATCGGCAACATTATGTCACGACAAAAAATTACGAGAATATATGAGATAAAAAATCATTATATATCCTACCCAGCAGGAGGCTTACCCTTCATCGATCTTTCATTTTTAATCTATAAATTTTTCAATAAAGGATGAATAAATTCATATTACGTAATTCTTTCAGCACTCTCTCTGTTCAAATTAATAAACACAGTCAAAGGAAAGTTAACAAATAACTGAGTGAGCCGTAGAAAATTTGCAGCAAGAGTTAAATATTAATGGTTCTTTCAGCACTCTTCTCTGTTCAAATTGCTGTTGCTACTATTCCAAAAGTGTTGATTCATTAACATAAAACAGGCTGTTTATACTCTGTTTTCCTTTTTCTCACAGTTTCAGACCTTTACAAAGTGAATACATAGCTTTTCTTGAAAATAAAATGCATCCAAGGTGTTCCCACTTTTCACCAAAGAAAATAACCCAGCTCTAAGTACATGTTTAACGTAGACAAAAACATAAAAAACAGGACAGTTTGAACGAAGATATCTGCACATTAACATGGATAATTTTTTTTCATCTGAAGGTGTGGAATAGAGAGCTCGTAGGAGGCGGAATCTAGATCGGCAAAAGCACAAAGAAGGTGAGTAAAGAGAGCAGAATTAATCTCTGAAGTGACGAAATTGGTACCTTAATTTATACCAGTAACCGGCTTTGATCCAAGCTTATGATTATGCAGGTTGCAATATTATATTGTTGAAGAGAGGGAATATGGAGGACAATACTTATAACAAATTTACATGCCATGAAGGAAACTTGCATAAAGCAAGTTTATTGGTATCGAATTTATAGAGAAGAAGTCACCTTCTTTGTCAACTTTCACTGCTACAAATTCAGAAAGGGCCCCTCAGGCCTCAATCAGAGGCGGAACTAGGATTTCTATATTGGGTCTCAAATATAATGTAGTCTTATATGGAAATTTAGCCTTGATTGACAATATTAATGGCTTATTATTGTAGAAACGTGCTTTACAAGGCTCAAATCTTCATGCAGGGCATATAGAGATGAATTCTGTTTTCCACTTATGATTTGTAGGAGTACAATCCCAAAACTATACACGCTGGATTTAGTTGAGTATATGCTTCTCTAAGCATATTCTGGGCCATGTAAGTTAATTTCTTTAAAAGCTAATATTGGTTGCAAGTTATGTATATCAAAATGTACTTAGCAATAGAATTTATAATTTGATGATTTCAGGCATATAAGCAGTGGATTGATGGCAAAAATATGGAGTTTATGGATGAATCACAAGATGATACATATTCATCCTGT